AACCTAGCTTAGACAGGATGGGGACCAGGTGTGGATGTACAGCGATGTGTGACAGAGAGCCCTACATGTTGCATGATGGGTCTGTGCCCTTCCGCATGTGCGCATGCTAGCATGCCACGTTCAGAGGTGCAAAGTTCACGTCCAGAAAGTTAAAATCCAGACCAAATTTTGCTTCAACCAGCCATCTGAGGACTCTTTATACTCAACTGGTTGGTTGAAGCAAAATCGTGGTCTGGATTTTTACTTTCTGGACCTGAATTAGCCACCTCTGGTCATGTTAGCGGTGGTTCCTTGCTGGCCTCGTAAGCCTGTACCTCGCCGCCGAGAAATAGACACCGTGTTCCTTCTCTCATGTGCTAATGGCCTTGATTGCACAAACACCTGGCTGCATGCGATGCTGCTTGTGAAGAGCTGAATCAGAGGGGACAGCGGAGCGCAGTCTCTGTGCCAAGCCACAGCATTGCCACTGCAGATGATGATCACGATGATGAGTGTGATCCTTGTAATGGGCTGTGTTCTGCATCTATGCAGCAAGGGATTATGGGAATCAGGCATTCTACATTAAATACTGCCGGTCAGTTTGTATGACACATCAGATCACAGTTTATGTCACTGACTCTCTGTAATTTCACAGCTTGGATCTCATTTCGCACTCCCGTAATTTGCAGTCTAGGCAGAGGCACATGATCAGGAGACCCTGGCCTGTTTGAGTTTTCAGTTAAACCTGTTAATGGGAGGAGCGTTCGTTAGCAGTCGTCAACCAATCAATAGCCGAAAACATTATGATTGACTGACTCACTGGCAAATCGCAAGCTGGAAAATTTTTTCAGCTGAAACTATTCTTGGTTTCATTCTGAGCTTCTGCAAGTTACGGTCTGTCTTTTTGAGCTTTTTCCCACTTTGTGAGTCATCTTCTTCCGGCCATGTGTAGCACTAAAATATCAGACTGTAGTAGCTATTTTGTGACTTTCCACCAATCTACACACCTGTCAGCCCCAGGGCCGCTGGCTATGTGGCAAACATGCTGCATCACCAGCAAGTTCCCAGGGATGTGCAATATCCCGGAGGCGACTAGGCCTTCCTCTGCTGTGCCACAAAAGTAGCGCTCTTCTCAATTAGCACACTCGCGTCGCGGTCGCTGGCCTTGCTGTCGGGCCGATTGTTACCGATCGCCCTTTCATATTTACACGCCAAATGCCGCAGAAAGTCCTGCTTGTTGGCATGCCCTCCTTGCCATTGTTGCAAATTTCTGCGGTTCTTTGATCTAACGCTGCGCGATGTCAATCGGGCACTGCAAGGCAGGTAATGACAGGACCGGATTACGGTGCGGAAAAAGGGATTTCGCTGGGTAGAGGCCCATGTGATTTGGGAGGGGCTTTTCTGCCGCGTTGGCACACGCTGTTCAGCCAGACCGCACTCTCCTGCATAACAGAGCCGCCTGAGCCTATGAATCTCCTAGTAATTACTGACTCAGGAAAAAAAGTTTTGTCACTAATTTGCTATGACACAACCAACCAGAAAAGGCTAAAGCTGTGATGACAGGAAGCTAAAGAGAGTCACCTCACGCTGTTCCTTTCAGGCAGAAATCCTCCTCCCCCATGAAACAGAAATGACTTCACGATGTGTGCTTTATCCTGAAGGGTTCAGCAAACCCCTTCCTGCTGGCAGGCCTGCCCCTGTTTTTAGCCGTCGTTTCAGGATCGCACAGAGCCAATCAGTCCCACGTCTGACCCAGAAAGGGGCAAAAGGACCAGGAAGACATGTCCTGCTGTGAAGCAGAACACCAGAACCGGTCCTCTAGAAACTGATCTTGGAGAGGATATTTGAGATGTTTCCACAGGCTGCTGAGGCCTGCCTTTAAATATTTGCTGGGGAGATGGGATATGCCAGGTTTTGTACAAGTCAGCTTGTAGCAGTGGAGGCCTGGAGTGACACGCGGCACCGCCTGCCTGAGTCGTCGATGGTCACCTGATGGAGGGACATCAATATGAGTCTCTGCCTACCATTGACGGGCCACTTTCTCCATGGTACGGCAGGGCCTCGTAAGACCCTCATTGCAGCCCCCCCCCCCCCCCCCCACTCCAGGCCTGCTGATCCCACCCTCTCACAGCACTCTTTATATTGCAAACACGCTCAGGCTGCAGTAAATTAACAAACTGGGCCGTTTGCTATTGGGCCAGATCCGGCAGGGGGAGCGCAGTGGGATAGAATGGGCTCTCTGTTTGCGTGTATCAGCAGTGCTGTCCCAATGGAGGGGGGGTAGGGGGGGGATTGACCCGTGCGTGCACCGCATGCAGCAGTGAACAGGGCCAGCTAGCAGAGACATCGGGGCCATCATTGCCACGTGTGACCAAGCAGATCAATCAGTCACCTGTTGTTCGAAGCCCGTTTTGCCTCTTTATTCAGCGTTGATTCTAGGATTCTTCCAGCGTGAGAAAGGTTGTAATTCATACAGAGAAGCCAGCTTTGACATTAGCCAATAATATTCTTTAGTTTGTGAGTGACAGGGGAGAGGACACTCCAGTGGCCAATCAGATTTCAGATGGGGCCAGTGCCCCTGTGGTCCCGCCCCTGTACACACCTCTGTCTTTAAACCAACATGTCGCTCTGTGTAAAAGTCCAGCAGGGCCAGAGTTTGCTGTGATGGAATCAGAGCGATTAAAAAGCTTGGTTTCAGTCCTCGGATGCCGTGAGGAAGTGCGAGACTAATTAGAGATACACGGCATTCAGCGAACCGTTTACCTGCCTCAAGCTGTAGTTCAGGCTCTAGGGTGTCGGTCGCCTTGTAGATGTGCTTGTTGGCGGTTTGCGGCGTCCTCAGACGGGTGGACGAGGCCACAGGGAGCGTTACGAGCATTTGGAGATGACAGGGAAGCTAAATGTAGGGTCCTCTGGTGTCAGGACTGTGTCTATCTGTGTGGCCTTTCTGCTAGATAGCAGATCCTGAACTAGTTTCATTTTGCAACGAAAGCCTTTTAAAATTAGGCTTAAGTGGGAAAATTGGACCCTCTGCTACTTAGAGGTGTCACTTCTGCTCTGTGCCATAATCAACCTGATCCAAGCCGCAAAGACGGTTAATTTATTCATTAATTTGCATTAATTCACATTTAGTACGAAAGAAAATTCCCTTCACTGAGAACCATCCATCGACTGAATGCTATCAGCAGATAGACTTCACCACAGTAAAGGATTATCGCCCCTCAGTAAAAGCTGAAACAAGGAACAACGTGAGTAACTTAAAAGCATTTATCAGCCGTGTGCTGTGATTGATTTAAATGAAAATATTTAATGTGGGTCCCTGTTTGGGGCTGATTTGGGGAGTGACTCTCTCCTGTCACACATAAAAGCCACCAGCATTGACAGGCTTCCGCACGGCCTCTGTGCCATTGTGTGGGTGTGTTTTTGGCGTCTGGGCAGGCTGGCTCTGGCAGATTTTCTCCGGCCATTTGAAGCATGTGCAGTGCTGCGCGTTTCACCAGACGCAGTGCTGCGCGTTTCACCAGACGCCACACGCTGACTGACGCAGTGGCAATAAAGGCACACGGCCATTTAAGCGACTCCTCCTCCCAGTCCCATCCCTTCCCTCTGGCTCACTGAAGGAGACAGGCATTCTGCCCATGTGACCCAGTGGCTCTGGACAGTACGGGCCTGAAGCAGTTCCTCTCCTGCTCTCATTACTAAGCAGAGGATATGTCAACATTGGAGGTGCAACGTGCCTGACAGCCATATTTGTCCATCAGCAAGCTGAGGAAGCCTGCAGTTCACTGAGTACTCAGACTGCAGTCCAAACATGCACAGGCTACTCGGTGTGCAGTCTGAACACTCACTGAATACACAGTCCACAGTCTAAAAACCCACTGAGTACTTAGACCGCAGTCCAACACACAGTGAGTACTCAGACCACAGTCCAAACATACACTGAGTACTCAGACCACAGTTCGAACATGCACAGAGCAAAAAGCTGGCAGTTCAAAAACATTTCAAGTACTCAGCCCGCAGTCTGAACACCTACTGAGTACTTTGACTACAGTCAGAAAGTCCTCAGCCTGCAGGCCAAATACCCAATGAGTACTCAGACTGTAGTATTCATCCTATAGTCCAAACAACCCTTAAGTACTCAGACCACAATTCAAACACATACTGAGTACTCATCCCGCAGTCCACAAACATGAGCACACCGCCAAGCCCCTGAGTGTTTGGAGCTAAGTTCCAGCTTGTTCATCCATTTTTATGAGTAATCGGAGTGTTTGCTGTGCTGCTGTTCCCAGTTCTGTCTATTTTTAGACTGTTTTTCGGGCTCGTATCAGAGCGTTCCTGGTTCCTGGGGAAACAAACGCCCCCGTCATCAGAAGAAGCCCTCATATCCTCTTACTGGCAGTGACTGTGCTCCCATGTCCTTCGGAGAGCAGGTGAAGTCGAGCTGTGGTCGGCCAACCCCCCCAAGCATCCTCTAGGACACTTTGGTGTGACATCTCCCTGGAAAAGCTTCGACATTGTTTTTTACTTACTTCGTGATGTGTACACTGCCAGCAGATTAGCATTTAAAGTAGCGCTTAAGGCTTTCAGAATTAATCCAGTTATTCTATAGCCCTATAAGCAGAAGGAGCTCGGGGTTTGATGTGAAAGACCTGTCAAGTCTTCTATGAGGGAAACGCAGCGGGGGTGTGGGGGGGGGGGATCTGAAGACGAGAGCAAGGCTGTCGGAAGCATCCGTTTGGCCTGAATGAGAGAGTCTGAGCCAGATCAGGCCAGAGAGGTGTGAGGTTCACAAGGATGACATCTACTCGGGGCTTGGAAGGCGAGAGCCAATTACGGCATGAGACTTCGCCAACAGACAAGGCAGCAGTGGGGTCACTGCGGTGGCAGTCTTAACGGATTAGATACCAGGCTGCAGTCCAGCCTGCAGGATGCATTCAGGCTTACGGCGGTCACTTTGCACTTCTTGGACCAGCCGGTTTTTGTTCATTGACTAGGTGTCCCCTCTCTGTCGCCCCCTTCAGGTGGTCGTGCTCAGACTGTCCAGATGGATTCCACCAAGTCGGGCTTCGTGGGTGCCCAGGTAGAGCTGCGCTGCCTCTTCGTCAACAGCAACCCACCTGTGAAGATCTCCCAGGTGACCTGGCAGAAGTTCGTCAACGGCACCAAGCAGAACGTGGCCATTGCCAATCCCACTATGGGGGTGTCCGTGTTGGCACCTTTTAAGGAGCGGGTGGCATTTAAGCAACCGGCAGTCCGCCACCGGACACCTTCGCTGGAGGATACCACGATCACCTTCTCGAACCTGCGCCTCTCAGACGAAGCAGCCTACATCTGCGAGTACACGACCTTCCCGGCTGGTAATCGAGAGAATATGGTCAACCTCACGGTTTTTGGTATGTTCTTATAGTTGCATTCATTTCAATCTTGGGTGTAAATTACGGTGGGGGATGGTGTGGGTGGTAACCCCTGAATAATTAAAACTATAACCCCCTGGATCCCCCGAAATGGGTGGAGACCTCAGCCCCCCCCCCACCCAATGTTCAACCAAAAGTTACGCCTCGAGTTCAGTTCAATTCACTTTATTTTTAGATAGCTCCTTTCACAACAGTGTCATCCCAAACCTCTGTTCTAGTATGTGTGGCAATCCATTACTACATCATTCATACAAAATATATAATAGTGTGTTCATGGAGCACTTCACGTAAGCTACCAGAAATCATATCAAAATGATATTAAAAAGGCTTGTGTCAGATCAGTCTTGTAGGTACACGATTTCGCTGTTGGCAGGATCCCTCAAACGCCAACACTTTCCTCACAGACAGCTGCATATTTTGCTCTGATATTTTTCTGGATGTAGGGAGGTTTTCTTAATTAAGAGCACGACAGCAGTATTCCTTCTGGGACTTCAGCCTGACGTCCGCCTCCATTTTCGTCTGTGAATAATTATGAATCCCTGAATTGTAAACGATTGTAACCTGTTCAAAAGACGTATGCTACAGTATGTCTCTGCACCAACAAATCATCTCGGGCCTTGTGTTTAGTCAGCTGAAATAGGAGTCAGTAAATCTGCTCCAGATTTTCTTTGGACCGGTCCTTGGTACAACACCTCCCCCCGCCCCCAGTGAAACCACTCCACTTCCGTTTAGAACTCGTTATGAAATCTGAAGTGTGCACATGGCAAAGACACTGTTTTAGGGTGAGGGGTGGGCGTTCTTTTCGTTTCTAAGGATTATGTTGCCTCTGAGTGATCCTGATGTACGATCAGCTGTCGCTCTGCTTGTTTTCATTGGATTAATGAATCCCTACTGCTGTTTTCTCAAAACCTGGTTCACTCTTTTCATTCGTTCGGCATCAGGAAGCAGGGTTCAAACTGCCAGTGCGTTAAATGACCCCAAACAGGCTGTCTATTATGCTGTGCCCATATGTCTTTTTTCCTGTATACGCTTTCTTCATGCGTAAGTATTTTTGTTGTGTACTTCAAATGTAGGTAATTGGTGACTGACTGCTCACAGAAGGGTTAGAATTGTATTTGGAACATAGCCTGGTGTGTATTTGATGGTTTCTTAACGGCTTCGATTTTATTGCTTTTTTCTCTCCCCCTCCCACATCACCCACAAAGATCTGACAGCTCTTCGGTGTGCTCATATCTGCAAAAGGGTATAAAAAAAAAAAAATTTAAATTAAATTTAATTAAATTTGCAAGGTGGGCAGGAGAGAGCTCCACAGTCCATCGCACGGAGTCATTTCAGTAAATGGGGGGTAATCGGTTCATCCGTGCGGCTCGGCCTTTCTCGTCCGGAGCCGTGACATCACGGGCGGGGTCATGCACGTACAGGGGGAAGGCAGAATAACATAAACACTGTCTGGAAAAAGGAGCTTTAACGAGGAAGAATCAGAGTCACAGTCGCAAACTTGTCTACAAGGGTCCTATTAGCGTTAATTAATTTAATTAGCTAATTAAAGTACCGGTCAAAAGTCTGGACTCACCTGCTTTTAACGCATGAGTCTCTGCTTTAGCTGTTATTCATCTTATAGTAAAAGGCCTCGAGGCAATGAAGTCATACATTTCAGATATTTCAGCATCTCAAAATTTTCTCAAATTTTACAGTCTTCAAAACAGCCCCATTGTGCTTCAATGACAGTATTGCAGACTCTCTGCATTCTTTCAACCAGCTTCCAGATGTAGCCCCCTGGAATGCTTCTCCAACAGTCCTGAAGGAGTTTCCACAAGGTCTGGGCACCCATTAGCTACCTTGCTCTTACTCTTCAATCCATAGGATTCAGGTGGGGAGCCAGGTCATCTTTCGCAACACTCCATTGAGGTATATTATCTTGTTGAATTGCAGGTGGACCATATACAAAATTTTAATGTGTTATGGGGAAGATTATCAAATCATGACAACATGTGAGGAACACAAACGGCATCAACAAAGGAACAGTGGCTGACTAAGACACAAACAGCACAGTCACTAAACACCATAGAGTACGTCCGCAAATCAGCAAACCAGTGACCCACACAAGAGCAACATGCTGTGAGCTTCACAAGGCCGGAATTTACGGCAGACCTGCCACTGGGACTCGTACCCAAGGTCAATACACAAAGCATTTCTTGGTGTCAGCATTCATAAAACCTGCACCTTAACTTTGCGAGGTCTGATTAGTCATTTTTAACCTTTCTTTTACATCAATGTGTTTGTCTGAAGACAAAGGATTCTTTCAACCCACAGTGTGTTGGCCTGGGCAGTCATCTTGTGGGAGTCGTTAGATCCAATGACAAGCGCACCCTACGGAGCAAACACTGTTCCCACATGCTGTACGCATATTCTAAAATAATGCAACCATGCACACTTCAAGAGTGACTTTCTTTGACCTCCCCATATCTAAATATCATTGACCTTTAATGGGACGTTCTGATTTCCACCTCCCTCATCCCTCAAAGAACTAGATGTTCTTCTCCTTGAGAGAATGGTCAGATTGTTGGTTTGAATTCCTTCTGTCTCTCCTCACTCTTTCTTCTTCCGTTTCCGCAGCTCAGCCGGTGACCCGCCTCACCCTGACCGCGCCCATCATAGTCGCCCGTCCGCAGAAGCACAGGATGACAGTGGCCACCTGCGTGTCAGCCAATGGGAAGCCTCCAAGCGTGATCACCTGGGAGACGCGGCTGAAGGGAGAGGCCACCTTTCAGGAGACGCACAACGCCAACGGGACCGTCACGGTGCACAGCAGCTACACGGTGGTGCCCACTCGGGATGCGCACAAGCAGAAGCTGACCTGCACGGTCACCTATCGCAAGGAGAAGATCACGGAGAGCGTGGTCCTCAATGTGCAGTGTAAGGACCGCCACAATGCCCTCACAAAGCCCTCTTCGTGCATCTCCATCTTTCTCCTGTCTCTTCAATCTGACTCTTCAACAATGTGCATAGATCTCTCAGTAGCATTTATAAAGGACTGTGTAACATCACAGGTCACACAGGGAAGGAGGAGATCCTCCCATCAGGCGAATCACCGATTAACCCCATAGCTACACAGAGCCACTCAACGGCTCATTGTTCAGGCCCGTGAAGATCTGATCAGCCGGCATTGTTAACAAATGTTTGGCATGTTTGCATGATGGCGTGGTGGTGGGAGTACGTGCCATGCTTTATGGGGGGGTCTGATGTCATCTCCCCCTGCACCCCTCCCTTGCAGATGAGCCTGAGGTGTTCATTGAGGGCTTTGACGGGAACTGGTACCTGAACAGACAGAACGTGCAGCTGACGTGCATGGCTGACGCTAACCCACCAGTCACTGTCTACCAGTGGAGGCTGTGAGTTTCGCAAGGGTCCGCCGATTCCTTCAGCAACCGAGCTTCTCCACCTTCATACCCCTTCTGCGACCCCCCCCCCCCCCCCCCAGCCTCTGGGAGCTCATATGCAGCAGAGTATTTGGGGAAGCACAATAGATTCATTAGAAATTCCACAGCCATTACTCCCGAGAAGATGATAGCAGAGATACTGGGCAGGCAAAACAATGGCTGAAACCGTGCCGGTTCAGGGACAGCACCCTGTAGCCACTCTGGAGTGCGCTCCAAGCACAGTAATTTTAGCATTTCAGATCTGGCTCTCCTGTGCTCGCTGGAATCTAAATATACAGTTATTAGAAATCAGTCTGTGAAATACCACCTCGGATTTTGACCTTTGCACTGTTAAATGTATTCCTCATTTCTCATCCCACCTTAAGTAGATGTTTCGGCAGGATAATGGAGCCTCTAGCCTCGTTTTTAAAGATGTTTTCAAAGCTTATCAAGGAACACTTAGTGCTTCTGTAGCTCTATTTGCATGAGAAAGAGATTATGTCTCTTAGGCATTACATTTTTGAGCGGGAGATGCGTCATTTTGCACTGAAAAGACTTGACGTGGTCACCACGGGCCAACTCACCACGGGGATGATGGGCACGCTGGTGATCACGTCGAGACACACGGGGCTGGTGCTTTCTGGAGCTTTCTGGAGCTTTCTGGAACATCTGCATAGTCAGTCAAGCAGCTCGCACTTGCTGCCTTTTCTCGGTTTGCCAGGACTGCTGAGTCTCGTGTTTCTGAGACCATGAGAGGTGGTTGAGGATCATGGCGTGGGAGGGCGGGCATAGGGTGCAGTTACTGGGGCGGGTGTTGAAAACAGGACGCACAATCCATAGTGACGATTCCCCTGTGAAGGTGACCCCATGCTCCTCTCTGTATGTATGTCCGTACGGACACACAGAGACGGAGCCCCGACCCCGGCAAAATGAAAACCCCTGGCAGCTTTTTCACTGCATCTGATTAGGCAGTAGCTGAGCGAATGGACCCCCCGGCGTTTACTGGAGAGACCAGTGAATCTCCATCGCATGGGTACCCAGAGCATCCTGTCATCTACGCGGCAGTGACTAGCAAGCGTGTCTGCTGCTGTAGCATCATAAACTCGCAGTAACAAATAAAGCTCGGAATTTTTGAACACCTCTCCCTTTGTTTGCCGTTAGCCGTAGCTCGTAAACCGCAGCCATCTGGCAAGAAATGTTCTTCTCTTGCTTAATTGGAGATTAGTTAATGTCTCTGTGTCGAGCTTGTAGCTACTGTCTCCGGGGATGATTTTCATGACCGTCCCCATCTCGCTTTAATGTTTGCAGTGCATTTCCGCCTCATGTCTTGCCGTCTCTGTTAGCGAGCGGTGCGTTCAGCAGCCGCTGCCTGTTCGCTGCACTGCAAACAGGCTCCAGAGCCGAGGAGAATGTTTGCCATGTTATTCAGCTGCAGGAATTAAGAACAGATTGCTGGGGGACTTAACCCATAACAGCTGTGGCGTAAAGCCTGCCAGCGCGAGGTCGAGCTCTCATTCCGATAAAAACAACAGTGTAAACGTGACCAACGCAAGGCCGGCCACGAGACACCGCTTCAGGAAATGACTCAAAAACGAGGCTGATGATTCCCAAGGAATTGTTCCGCTCCTCTTGTTCATTCTTTCTCCTCCATAAATTCTGGGGCTGGCAGGAAAGCTGGAATTTAGATGAGGGGAGCCTGGCCTACAGGTGAGGTATCTCCATGAGAGGAGCACAGGGTGGAATGCGTGAGCCTTTGACCCGTGAAGGAGGTCAGGATCAGATACCCAAAGATGGCTCCTACGCAATTTTATGGCGCTTCACGGCCAATTAGGCCGTGACGTCCTGGGGTTTCTGGGAGTCCGGCTGGTGGTTAAGGCTGGGGCGGGTGGCCGAGACCCATCAGGCTTCTCCATCTGGCTGGGCGGCGCAGTATGAAGCCTGATGGATGAAGCGTGACCAGGTGGAAGCATGCGTTCCCGCAGCTCGACACGGTCTCTTACTCCTCCACGTCTCCTTTCCAGCCTGAACGGCTCCCTGCCCAACGTGGAGATCCGCAACAATTCGCTGTTCTTCAAGGGCCCCGTCACCTACGATCTGGCCGGCACCTACGTGTGTGATGCCACCAACAGCGTGGGGACACGCTCAGGCCAGGTGGAGGTCAACGTGACAGGTAGGTGGCCGGGCAGACTCCTCCTGTTTGCTATGGTGAGTCGGGGCGCACGGTTTAGGAAATGTGGCACATCTCGTCAGTTAAAGCTACCAAGATGTGGACAGGATGTGGACATTACCAGAGGATTGTTATTCCGGTCCTGAAGGCCACATCAGAGATCCGATCTCCATCTCAGAGGGATCAGAGAACCATTGCACTTATCTCCCTCCGGACAGAACTGGGTAATGAGGGAGACGACATAAAAGCACCTGAATAACAAGCTCGCATTTCTGAGAACCACCTGTGACTTTCCTAGCCTGATACCTGCTCAAGTTGATTTGTTTTATCTGCATGAGAACACCCAGGGAAATGAAAACTGATGCCGTTTTCTGAATTTGCTGTGCATTGCTGGCGTAGGTAGTCTGCTGTTCCACTTTATGGAGGATGTCTGTAATAAAAGGATGACTGACGACGTTTGGAATCAAGCCGTGCTCTTGTCTCGACGTGTGACTCGCTCCCATTGACATTGGGTTGTTTTGCCTAGATAAGATGGGATCTCTGGTTCTGTAAGACAGGCCGGAGTGTTTTGCAAGTGGCATTCCCTGCTCCAGGACCATGCAGGGAGGTGGCCACGTGCTAGGCGGCCCCGACACCGAAGGGAGAAAGGGGGCTGTGTCATGGGCAGCAGGAGCAGAGGATACATGCTCTCACTTCTGTTATGTAACCCCTCTAAAAATAGCGCTCTCCTCTGAGCAGAGATGCTGGCACGCTCGGTTCAGGGGATTCTCACCTTGCGTGTCCACTTCTACCGCTGTACAGCTGCACTCGTGCCGGCAGAAAAGCACTTTCCTAAATCATTCTTTTCATCCTCGTTCACTCTCTCCTTTTACCGATATTAATATGTCACCATAAATTCTGTCAGAAGATGCCAACCACCGGCCCTTTCAGTGAGTGTGTCAGGCGTGCTGACGGCTCAGTCCTGCGACTCCCCTGTCACCTGTGCCCCAGGCTGCACTTGGATGGCCATGTCCTTGGGACAGAAGACCTGGAGTCACTGTTTAGAACAGCGATGAATGAAAAGAATGAGTCTCTGAACGCAGATCAGTCTCCGTCGTGACACGCAACCTTATGGCGTTTTTGTGGGGAGCGATCAGCATTTCAAGGGAAGCGGTCTCGAAAAGGGCAGTTTTTCTATATCTTTCTAGATTTAACTTGGCAGTTTGTGCAGTGCCTTTGAAGCTCTGATGTTTATGTGGGAGGTACAAATGATGGCCTTTGTCTCAAACCGCCTCAGTCCTTTGGAGGAACACAGCAAGCGAGCTGTTCATTGTCGTAACGGGACAGTCACGTCTGCTGCAGGCGACTGCTGTCTCTGTTTTGGGGGGAATGTCCCTAAAGAACACCATTTCAGTGCCTAAGCCCTCACCAACCTGTTGGCCGTGTTTGACATAATTATTCTTTCTCTGGCACCTTTGGGAATTTCACAAGCGATTTAATTTCCCGGTGCCTGAGGAGAAGCTCCTGGGTGGGATGAGCGGCATGTTGAGGCTTATCCTGTTGCAGGGGGGTGACAGGGAGGCACCAGTCTGTACAGCCCACACGTTTGTACTGGAAGCGGAGGCAGCAGGATGCATACAGAACTCCGCAAAGTTCTTTTTCCCCGAGGTCCAGAGTCCATCAGGCACACAAAACCAAGGCCCAGTATTCCCAATAAAATTTTCTGGTTCATTTTGCTGACCGGGGGATGGGGGGGGGGTTCTTCAAGCACGGGGTTGGGGGGTCCGGATCAAATTGCATTTTGGTTTGCCAGTTTAGTCCCCCTGGAGTAAAGGTTCCCTGAGGTGCTGTAAGCCGTGTCCATGCTGAGAGTGTCCGCCCCAGCTCTCCACGCTTTCCCTGCCTCCCCTGTGTGGGAAAAGAACCACCCTGGCCCCCCTGGGGCTCGTCTCTGATGCCGTTTCCCAGCGTTCTGTGGCGTTCTGCCCGTCTCCGTGGCATAAAAAAAAAAACGCTTTGTTCGAGAGGTGCCCCGGAGTGACAAGAGACTCGTCTTAACGTTGACCCAAAAAGCGGGTCTGGCAGCAGGAGGGGCACAGCGCCAGGCAGACGGCCAGCGGCAGTGGTGCCAGGCGTTTCCTCCTGAGGGATCCCCACGCGCACGAGGAATCCCTGCAGAGTGACACGTGACACCAGCGCTGCACTTCTAGGATGCTCCCACAACACCCCACCTGCTCAGTTGGCGCACTTTAGAACCAGAGTTAGAGTCATCCTCTACGTCTTTAAACACACACACCTCTGAGCCTTACCTGCCAATCAAACTAGGTCTAGTGAGCTTCTGCAAGGTCGGCTTTGATCTAGTTAGCTGGATTTGGTCTGGTTTGGTATGGTCTAGTTAGATTGATTGAGTTATGCTTTGGTGTAGTTAGCTTGATCGAGGTTCTGGTCTAGTCTAGTTAGCTTGATCAAGGAGGTCTGCACTGGCCTAATTAAGCTTGGTCGAGGTCTGGTGTTGATTAGGTGGCTTGGTCAAGGTATGTTTTGATCTAATTAGCTTGGTTGAGGTTCAGGTCTGGTTTAAGCCTCATTTAGGTCTGTTCTGGTTTAATTGGCTGATCTCCCTAGTTTGGTTGAGGTCTGTTCTAGTCTAGTTAGCTTGGTTGAGGTTCTGGTCTAGTCAACTTAGTTTGGTCGAGTTCTGCTCTGGTTTGGTTTAGTATGGGTCTTTTTCTGTATGTTTCCTTTAGTTGTTCAGAAAAGCAGTGCCATGTGAGATTTATGCTTTTGGTCCGGTCTTTGTGAGCTATAATCACATGACCTGATTCAAGCACGAGAAACACTTTAAGTATTTCAATGTTACACACCAATGGCACAAATCCCTCATTTGTAGTCTTTATAAGAGATAACCTCCCCGACAGGCCAAACTGCCGGCCCACAGCGCCCCGTAAGGCCACCCTCCCTCCGCAGTGGGTCGGACTAGGGCTTGGTTTGTGCGCAATTACAGCTAAGCTCAGGTGAGTCAGTTTCAGGGGCTGTCCGACACGATGTCACCTTTTGTTCCACATGCCAAAAAACTAATAAAAATGTGCAACCGGCCTCCCATTTTAATCAACCATCTTAACAGAGGCATGAGCAAGGTGACAGAAACATCTAACAAGAATATTCACACCCTTAGAGGTTATTGTGTTTAAAAAGGGCCAATCGGTTAAAATCTCTCCTCCATGAAAAGGTTGAGACATAAATTACAGGTTCAGGTCTTCTACTGGACTGATTCAGATGCATCTACTAATTAAGTGGAGTTCAGTACGATCGGCATATAGAAGGGAGACTAACTCAGTGAGTCATTATGATTCTCACAGAATCGACAAGCATGGTGTGATGTTGTAACAGGACTGGTGAGGAATGTTATTTAGTGGCGGGTGGCCTTTCGGGGGTTTAGGAGGGGTGGGGGGCGATGGTTTGATGTGGTCAGCCTCATAGGATTCTTTGCTTATAAGGCAACATAGCAAGGCTATAATTAAATCAATTAACTCTAAAATTTATAGTTGGCGCCTTTCTCCATTAAATCCTTCACAGAATAACTGTCAACTGGAAAACTACCATGTTCGATGCTCGTCCCACAGGCCGTAGTCTGATTGGTGGGAATTGCCTGATGGGTGTCGACCATGAGAAGTCCCGTTGTCACCCTAGGATGAACCGCTGACTGTGACCTACAGTGAGCCCCCTCCCCCATCTGGAAATGGGATATGCAGGGGCCGGTGGGGGAAATGTCATGACGAATCATCCATCGCTGGTCACGCAGCCTCAAGGCCCTGGTGACCAGCATCTACATTATTTTTTTATCCAATGTCTTTATCTGAAGCGACATACATTTTTTTTTTTTTTTTTGAGAAAGCAGAAAAAGGGTCAGACAATTCCTGGAGCAACTAGAGGTTAAGGGACTTGCTCAGTGACATCACTCAAGACTGGGATATGAACCAACAACCATCTGGTCACAGATACAGCACCCTAACTCACTGAGCATCTACATGCATGAACAGTGTGCCCCCTTGGTAGCTAGAGATCCATGTTTGGGGGAGACAGACAGATACGAGGAGAGACACTGGTCCACGAGCCTGGAAAGGTCAAGCACCTACAAGCATCTGTGTATCATGCAGGGGTGGTTCTAGGATTTTTTTAAGCCGAGTTGCATAATTCATTTGCCAACTTCTTTAGCCAATGATATGTTTCATAACGTTGAGTGGCAATCAGTGGGGGCCAATCAGCTTTCAGCTGGGGCAGGTGCCTCTCTGGCTTTACCCCTGTATACGCCCTTTGTGTCGTATACCGAGGTGGAGTTTCCCGCAAAAACAGCATGACCACATGACACGGTCAGGGCCCAGTCACTCTCAGCTGCGTGCTGGTTTGTGGTTGTAGGCCTGGCTATGTGTATTCACGTTCTCACATTGGCTGTTCACGTTCGGCTGGGTGGATATTTACATGTTCCAAGGTGCTGGTGGGGACACGTCCTCTCAGGCTGGGACATGCGTCTATTGGGTCCCCCCCCCCCCCCCCGATTACAGAGAGCTGTGCTCACATCCGTTCACGCTCCCCTGAACAAGCAATCGCATGTTTCTGGGGAGGAGAGCGGATGGTGGGTTAAACTGCTCCCCCCCCCCCAAGGTGAGAATAAAGTAAATACAGTTGTGGTTCCTTGGATATTAGAGGGAGAGATGGACAGAAATGAGCCCCCCTTTGATCAGAGGATGGGCAGGTAATGGCAGGGTGTTACGGGAGAGTTAGGCCATGCCTATCATTGCATGAGATGTCTACTGTCATCCAAGGAATGGTATGAGACATAGAGTGAGAGAGAGGGGGAGGGAGCGAGAGAGAGCGAGAGAGAGGGAGAGATGGGGGATTGACGGCAAACATTTTAATACACAAAGGAAGGTAATTGCTGAAAATTGGCGATGCTCTCAGTTGGGCAGGAAGCACAGCGTCATTTACAGCACGGTGCCCCCTGACCCCTCCAGTGCTGGGGGGTCTCCCAGTGGCAGCTTGAGGGAGGGCAGTGTGTGACTCAGAGGGTCAGGCCTCCTTGACTGTGAACAGAAGGGCCCTGGTTTGAATCCTAAGGGTGGCAGAATAGTCACATCACTGTTTGGCCCTTGAGCAAGGCCCTTAACCCACTGAATAAAGTAAGGGGGGGCAGATAAATGGCTGATCCTGTTTGCTGGCTCCAAAAACATCACCCAGCACCTGAATATGTGCATTCACCTTAAAGCAGAGCATGATGGGATATGTGGAATCTAAAGCATTGCTGTGTACTTGTAGCAATCAATAGCTTCGTCAATAGGTTCGAGAGCGCCAACCCCCCCCCCCCCCAGGCTCCCTGCTGCTTATTGCGATTTTCTCCCCGATGCACTTGAGCCTCATGGTGGTCCTTTGCGTTATTCCCGTACCTTACAGCCAGCTTAGCACGGACCCCCAGCTGACATGCTACGCACTCGTCACGCCCCATATGACAGCCTCAATCAGCTTAACTAGCCGAGCGCCGTGTCGCCCTGGAAACCCCTGCGTGTCACTGACGGGCCGACAGCCCACACATGCGGGTTCTGTGTATTATTAAGTCCAAACTGTCAGGTCTGTGTTGAGTAGGAAAAGCGTGGGATGCGTGTTCCTGTACCCTCCCCCAGCCTGGCTGCCTGCTCCGTGCGGGGGTGTGGCTCTTTCACCCCCCCCTCCGCCACCCAGCAGCAAGAGGACCTCTCCCACCCCCGAATCGCGGGGAGATTACGCCTCATTATTCACCTCAAGTATTCTCACACGCCGCTTATCTTCCCTTCTGCGGCTCCCTGTGGGATCAGCGGTGCCAGCCCAATAATACCTGAATTTCGGAAAGCCCGAGGCCAGTTGGGCCGGAAAGTTCCGGCACGTGCCGGCAGAGAGGCGGCTGGTGTCAATGAAACGATGGGACGTGCTCTCCCCATCATTAACGCGCATGGTGTTGCAGGGCATGCGGGCAGTAAGTGGGGCAGCCTGCTGGGGTCCTGACACCGTATGCTAGTCACTGCGCACAGACTAACAGAAAAGGTCAGATCGGAGAGGAGCTGTCAGCTCCGGTCGTAGAAACGCCCACGCGACATGCATGACGTGTGTATACTCCGCCAACGTGGAGGTACTCATTCTCTGTGCTGATGTGTAAAGCTCCTGTCAGGACGGTTCTCTCGCTCCTACCCCTACTTGTCCGCAGCTGATGCACAGTTAGGGATTGTGGCAGCGTTTCGTCACTGAGACGTAGCGACCCCATGCAGTTCAGGCTGCAGCATGAGTCACGATTTTCCCTGGAGCCCCTGTCACGGCACTCATAGTGTTCTTTTACATTTATTTATCTTGCCGACACTTTTATCCAAAGCATTGTACAAATGGGAGCGCAGGGTCAGTCGGCCCCTCGAGCAACTGGGGTTAAAGGCCCAACATTCTGCCAGCCACAGGATGTGAACCAGCGACCTTCTGATCACAAGCATAGCATCCTAACCCCATATGGTGCTCTCTCTCTCTCTCTCTCTCTCTCTCTCCCCCCGCTCTGATAGGCCGCTAGTCCACTAATCACAGACGCGTTTCAAGGCTTCAGTATGGGCTCTGGCCCCTCCCTCATTGTACATCTGTCATCTGAATGCCTCCGCAGTCACCTGACCAGCTCAAAGTCACCCCATTGGTTAACCCTGTCCATATCTACAGTATTAGCATGGTTACTTTGATCGTTTAGTAATAATTGCCCTGCAAGCTTTAGGTACGGCAGATTTCTGCTGAGGATAAATTTCTTTGAAAATGTATATTTGGTGGTTTGCCAGTCAGTTTCTTTGAGATAAAATCAGTAAAATGCAAAGATGAGACTTTTGAATCACATCTATCAGACTTCGGAGAAGATTCATTTGGACGTTAAAAAATGCAGACTTGGGGAAGCCTCACTCAATCTGCACGCAGAATCTGAAGGGGCCTGGGGTGAGATGCCTGTAGTGGCCTGTGATTGGCTCCTGACCTCCCTGTCTGACAGCCACAGTCTCGCACCTCACTGCCTTTTTATGCTGCTGATTTTCACTGTAGCAGCTTTATGAGAAATCGAACACTCAGACAACAGAAAACTTCGCCGAGTTACAGATGAGATGGTCTGTCTCCTGGGAAATATATAAAAAATTAAAAATACAGGCCGTGGAAGGGAAGTTTTCCCGAGGGCTGTGGCTGAGGAATGAGCCTAATCAGCGTTTAATGAGTAACGTTTGCAGCACTGGTGACAGTCAGCTTGCATCTTCATTTATCTGTAAACATCACTCTGTGTGTATTTTAAGCTGCTGTGGCTCCACAGTGGGATTTCGTGGACCAGGTGACTCTGCTTGCATTGCGTACCGATGGATTGTTGCAGCTGAGATAGTAGCTATTGTTATAAAGCTATAGGGTTAAAGGTTTGTAGTGGGGGGGGTTGGTCGCCCACAGACTCATCAGCCACATGGCCAGTTCAGGTCTTCACTGCCTCCTTTATGATTTACCAGTGCTTCAAATAAACAAACTAAGAAAAAAACTGCCTACATGTTGTGCAGCCCAATGATTAGAGACGTGAAAATGCGTTTCACTAATGCAGTTTGACGCCTGTGACAGGCCCCCACTGAGGCCCCCTGCTGGCCACTCCGTGCCGTTTTCTCCCTAGCCGCATATTCCTGGTGCCCCGAGGGTCGGCTTTCCGGGTATCGGGTCGGCATGGTGCCACTCAGAGGCTCCCCGTCAGCATTCTGTTAGCCGCAGCATCCCGCCAGCATCCCGTCAGCCCGCTACAGCCTTCCAGCTGTTTCTGCACAGTTAATGAGTCTGTCTTCTAGCCTGTCTCCTTCAAGCCTCTAAAGTTTCAGGACCCTGTCTGTAAGGTGGCCTGGGAGGCCGGCCCCGCCTGTGCCACATTAATCAGATAAAGATGGGGGCTGGCTTTGTTTAGTATCTCTTAATTAGATAATGTTCAGGGAGCCGACCTTTGCCTTAGCTAAACAGGAAACAGAATAATCCATAATGATCTCGGCGCTTGGTGCAGGTGTTCGGCACTCAGAATGCAGCCTGACAGAGTAGCTTCTTGAAGACCCCCCCCCTCCCGCATTAGGGGCGGGGCTAACTCTCACCTTTGGGGTCTTCTTTACCTATCAGTTTCTGCATCAGTTTCCACTTCGTCGCTTTCCTTTTGGGGGTGCACTTATCCCTTTTAGGGGTGCCCTCATTCCTTTTGGGAGTGCTCTTATTCATTTTGGGGGTGCTTTTATTCCCTTTGGGAGTGCACTTATCCCTTTTGAGGGTGCTCTTATCCCTTTTGGGGGTGCTCTTATTCCTTTTGGGAGTGCTCTTATCCCTTTTGGGAGTGCTCTTATTCATTTTGGGGGTGCTTTTATTCCCTTTGGGAGTGCACTTATCCCTTTTGAGGGTGCTCTTATCCCTTTTGGGGGTGCTCTTATTCCTTTTGGGAGTGCTCTTATCCCTTTTGGGAGTGCTCTTATTCATTTTGGGGGTGCTTTTATTCCCTTTGGGAGTGCACTTATCCCTTTTGAGGGTGCTCTTATCCCTTTTGGGGGTGCTCTTATTCCTTTTGGGAGTGCTCTTATCCCTTTTGGGAGTGCTCTTATTCATTTT